CCCTGCCCCGTGGCATGGGGGAAGGGGAGAACAGCTGCCCCAGGCCTTCCCTCGCTGAAAGGGGGGCTGGCAAGCATAGCGAGCAGGGGGCACAGTCCCCTAGTTTAATTACACATCGTAAGAGATCAGCAGTTAGGATTCCACAGAAGAAAACGAAGCATTATTACACCTTTTCACTAATGTGTGGAACTTAATATTTACCCTGCCCCGTGGCATGGGGGAAGGGGAGAACAGCTGCCCCAGGCCTTCCCTCGCTGAAAGGGGGGCTGGCAAGCATAGCGAGCAGGGGGCACAGTCCCCTAGTTTAATTACACATCGTAAGAGATCAGCAGTTAGGATTCCACAGAAGAAAACGAAGCATTATTACACCTTTTCACTAATGTGTGGAACTTAATATTTACGTTTACCCTTTTATAACCTTCCTGTATAAAGGTGCACAGTGCCCCCTAATCTATAAAGACCCTTGGGGAAAAGGCCACGCATTATAGTTTACAAAGACCCATGCATACCACTGACAGTGCCGAAGTAAAGCAACAGGAAAAAAAAAAGAGTTCTCTCACACAGGATACTGTGCAGTTAAAGGCTTCTTTCTTTTGTGAAAGGATCCTTTTGTTTTGTCTAATGACAATGCACCAGTTTGTTTGCTACGGATGTTGTGTATGCTTTGATGCAAGCCGTTCTGTCTGAAGGTTTGCATGCTCTGGGGTTTCTGGCAAAGCTCCTCCAGGTAGTAAGAAATGTAACTTTACCCCTTTTCCAGATCATGTATGCATATGTTCAGTAGTACTAGCAGGCTTAAATCTAAAGGAAGTACTTCACACAACACACAGGCAACGTGTGGAACTCCTTGCCGGAGGATGTTGTAAAGCCCAAGACTGTAACATAGTTAAAAAAAGAGCTAGATACATTAATGGAGTTAGGTCCATGAATGGCCATTTCCTAGGATGGGCAGGAACGGTGTCCCTAGCCTCTGTTTGTCTGAAGCTGGGAATGGGTGAAAGGGGATGACTTGCTTGATGATACCTGTTCTGTTCATTCCCTTTGGGGCACCTGGCATTGGCTACTGTCTGAAGACAGGAGACTGGACTAGACGGTCTGACCCAGCATGGCCATTCTTATGTTCTGAACTTTCTTCTTTGCGACAGTCTAACAAGCAGTAACAAAAGAAAGCTACAGATGCTATGTCCCTGTTATCTATGGTACTAGCTATGTCAAATTCAACCTTAGGAGTGCAGTAAGTATCCTTTAGGTCACCCAGGCCATTATGGTGCCAAAGCCAGGCTATCACCTCTGAACACACAGAGAACCAGAATCTCAGGTGCAGTAACCGAGCATAGGTCCACAAACTTAAGTGCAGCAAAGCCATTTTACACTTGTGGAGGATATGGCCCAGGATCTTGTTTTAAAACAGTCAGATCTCTGAGTCCTTGTCAATCTGAGTCCTTGTCATTTAAAACTCACCATTTTTATCCACTGCCAACACAGATGTCCGTCCTACTGAGACTTGTTTTAACTTTTGTTTTGGAGGTGAAGGAATATGGTACCAACAGTCACCTAAAAGTTCGAAAAATCAATAAACAGGACATTAAGAAAGCAGCACTAAGAACACTATTGTCATCGGCCAAAGAAAGCTTTGAGTTCAGAGGCCACAGGGGTGGGAGCAACAGAAATACCTGGCTGTATAAGGCAGGAGTGAGTCCCAGCAGAGGGGACCAAAAAATCTTTCAGAGTGCTGGTCTAAAAGTGAAGTACACCCAAAGCACTAATCTCCATTTGAATGACACACAATGGCTGTGTCTACACTGGCATGAATTTCCGGAAATGCTTAAAACGGAATACTATTCCGTTTTCAGTTTTTCCGGAAAAGCAGCGTCTACATTGGCAGGCTGCTTTTCCGGAAAAGCGTCTGTGGCCAATGTAGATGCGCTTTTCCGGAAAAGAGCCCCGATCGCCATTTTCGCGATCGGGGCTTTTTTCCGGAAAAGACTACTGGGCTGTCTACACTGGCCCTTTTCCGGAACAGTGTTCTGGAATAAGGACTTATGCCCGAGCGGGAGCAGAATAGTTTTTCCGGAATAGCGGCTGATTTTGTACAGTAGAGCATCGTTGCTTTTCCGGAAATTCAAGGGCCAGTGTAGACAGCTCGCAGCTTATTCTGGAAAAGCAGCTGATTTTCCGGAATAAGTGGCCCAGTGTAGACACAGCCAGTGAGAATACCTAGCACGGACATGGCACTTTTCACTGGTAGATCTCAAAGCACTTCACAAAGAATGTCAGTATAGTTATCCCCAGGGCTCGCTGAACCACAGCGAGCCCTGCTCGCCAGCCGCACTGTACGGCGATCTGCGCATGCGCAGATAGTTCTGCGCATACGCAGATCACCCAAACCCGGCTCTTCCGGGTTGCAATCTACTCGCCATGGGCGAGTACATTGCATTATTTGTCGAGCCCTGGCTAGCCCCATTTGACACCTGGGAAAACTGAGATACCTAGTGATAAATTAAAGTATGGAAACCTGTTTAATTTTCCAACTCCTTTTGTATTTCTTACAAGCATAACACTGTCCCAACTCAGAACCCTGCACATTGAGGTGGGCTGACTGCTAGATGGTTTTCTACCCTGACTATCTCCAGAGTTTGGCCTGGAGAACTTAAAGGATTGTTGTTGACCCATGTGAAATGGCACTGCCTTGCGGGCATGGCTAGTTAAAATGTCTCTTGGTATTCCACGAAGTTACCCAAATACATTGCTTACAAAAAGAAACTCATCCAAGGCTTTATAAACATCAACTAAATTTCTAAACGCTTCCTAATGCAACTTAACATAAGTGAGGCTGAGGTTGTTTAGTTTGTATCAGCTGCACGCTCTCTTAAAGCCCTGGCTGGATTGATTTAGTTGGGACTGGTCCTGCCTTGGATAGGGGGCTGGGTTTGATGACCTTCTGAGGTCTCTTCCAGCTCTATGATTCTATGACACTGAAAAGTCTCAGCCCTGTGCTTGTTCAGCTCACTACATCCTTCCTTTAAGAAAACCGGTCCTGTTAAACAGCACTTACCTGCAGGTTTTTTTGGAGACACTGAACCCCGGTAGAAGGTAGAGCCATCTCTCGCCACAGCCCAGACCTGGTGAAATGCCCCAATTGAGACAGACATGAAGGGCTGATCTGTTCCAACGTGAAGCCATGACGTTCCCTAGCGAATGACAAAGAACGGCTTTGTAAACGTGCACCTGTTGCAGAACTGAATGACAGTCTGTGTGCTGGCTGATCAGCACCTCATGGGAAAAATCCTAATGAATGCAATTAGTTCTGAAGACTAATTTTTATAGAACCTTATATGACTTAACAAGCAGAGGTCTTTCTCTGGTTTGTTTAAATTAGGCTAGAGCAGGGATGTAATCTTTTGTTCAGTTCCACAGGCCTGTTCTGCAGCAGCATTGTGACTTTAGTTATATCTAACAGTACAACTCATGACAGGGAACTGGTAGGGAAAAAAACCCCAGGAAATATATTTTTGAAAATCTTTACGCTATTTTTTCCAAAAGTTCACGTTATCCATGTTTAAATTTTTTTTAAAAAGGAAACGTTTCTACCAATTCTAGCAATGGCTTTTGCAAATTGAGTGCACATTTGGTTCCCATCCTGTAAAGCACTTACACACATGCGTAATATCAAAGGAGTGTCCCAGGTTGCACTGGGCCTTTAAGGGTACGTCCATACTGCACACTTCTTATGGCAGCATGTGGAGTACATTCCCGACACCCTCTAACCCCCAGCACAGGGGAATAAAAGCATGCCAGAACCTTAGGCTGCGTCTAGACTGGCATGATTTTGCACAAATACTTTTAACGGAAACGTTTTTCTGTTAAAAGTATTTGTGCAAGACAGCGTCTACACTGGCATGTGCTTTTGCGCAAAAGCATCCGTGCCAGTGTAGATGCTCTCTTGCGCAAGAAAGCTCCGATGGGCATTTTAGCCATCAGGCTTTCTTGTGCAAGAAATTAACTTACCTGTCTACACTGGCCTCTTGCGCAAGAACATTTGCGCAAGAGGGCTTATCCCTGAGTGGGAGCATCGGAGTATTTGCGCAAGAAGCACTGATTTCGTAAATCAGAACGTCAGTATTCTTGCGCAAATACTTGCGGCCAATGTAGACAGGCGGCAAGATTTTGCGCAAAATCATGCCAATGTAGACACAGCCTTAGGGTAAACACCCCCTATGGCTCTCTACACACCCAAGCAGCGATTTATACCTACATGCTGCTATTTTCAGTAATGGGGCACACTACTCTCTCCCTACTGCAAGACACTCCTGCATGGCTGCCCCTTGACATAGCATGTCTCTGCCATTGGTGGCTGCATGCTGTTTGATTTTCACTATGGTATATAGACTAGGTGTAGCTATAGGCTGTGCACAATGGGCTGCAGCCTAGATACAGCCTAAGAGGGTACTAGTCCAGCCCACCTATGTCTCATTAACAACCTCATAATGGGATCTAATAGAGGACAGCTGGCCTTGCTAAGAGCCAGAGGGGAGATGTAGTTCAGGGATTCAGCTGGTGCTGTAATGGACATCTAAGAGCTATAAAGGGACAGAGCGATCAGTCTGGGAGCAGACCCACAAATTGGTCAATGGCTGCTCTGGGCAGACACTGAAGTGGCCAGGCTGCAGGAGAACAGTATTCCAGGGAAGTCAGGCTAGAGGTTGACTTTTCTATACCAGAGCAGGGAAAAGAGGCCAAAAGGGGCAGCTTGGGAAGGGGCTGGAAACATGGCCCAGAGAGGGAGCTGAAGAAAAGCCAGGAAACTTTTTACTGGGACTTTTTTTAGTTGGCTTTTTGTTGATTCCAGAAGGGTAACTACAGGGCTAGTCCACATCTCCAGCACTGTCTGTCTATGAAGTTTATGAAGGATCCTGAGGCGCTGCTGGCCAGGAAGGGGCACTTGGGTGGCAGCTGCTATTACAAAGATTATTCACATGCTTAAGTACGCTAGGGGTTGGATGTCACTGTTTTGCAATCTCTATCATAGCCGGTAGGTAAATATGAACCTAGTATCTATACCGGGCAGTACAGATGTGCATGGCTCCTTATAAAAACACACAGCATGATACAAAGCCCACTGGAGTTAATGGAAAGGCTTCGGTGGGCATTCTATGGGGGCGTTAGCTTGGACAGGTTCCTGCCCTGAGTAGCTTAATGTCTAACGTCAGATGGCGATGCTAGCTATAATTTGAAGAGAAGGCAGGAGCAGACCCCTCAACAACTGAAGGGGAAGTAAAGGAAAGGGGTGTAAGGGAAATAGATGGGGCAGGAGAGAATAGCTATTCCAAGCACAGGAGGCAGCATGAAATCAAGAGGTAGGGAATGAGCATCATGCACTGTATGCGAAGGGGTGAAGCAGGAAAACAAGGCTGGGGGAGAACTGGAGAGACAAAAACCAGTGAAGGGATTTGAGGGGACACAGCGTGTGCAATGCACTTTAAATTATGTTTCTAGGAGAGATGCAGTAAGGAGAGTCTTACAGCTGGATTTTGCTGTGTTACTCCAAGTCTGCACAGCACGTCTCCCTTGTCGCTAACTGCCCAGAGTGCTATCAATTCTTCTTGGTCTGCCGCCGAGCTAGGGATTATGGTGATGTCCCACAGGGTGATGGGAGGCACTTCCAGCCAAGGTCCGTTGGTGATTATTTTACATTTCCTAGAGAGAAAAACCCCACAACTTTTTAGGCGGACACACTTCCTGTGAGTGAACTTGTGACCATGTTGACAGAGTAAGTTAAACTCAAAGGCCTGGAGAAACCCTCAAATCCTTCCATTAAATGGATGCTATGAAACTAGAGCTCCCACGAAATTAAAGTTTCTGGTGGCAACCCACTTTCAAACCAACTAGATCTGTGAATCCAGGTGGAGATTTGAGGCACTAGACAAAGGAGAACGTTTGTTGAGGTTTCTTTTTCAAGAGCAACTTAATTTAAAAAAAAAAAGAGAGATCCTTTTAGAAGTAGGGATGTGAAAGCTTAACCGTGTAAATGCTTAATTGATAAGCCTGAGCTTATCGTTTAATGTTCAGTCACATGCAGGCTCCCGCCCTGCTCCTGGGGTGTCAGCTGCTATCCCACACTGCTACCTCTCATAGGGTATGTCTACACTACGCCGCTAGTTCGAACTAGCGGGGGTAATGTAGTCATCCTCAGTTGCAAATGAAGCCCGGGATTTGAATTTCCCGGGCTTCATTTGCATGAAGCCGGCCGGCGCCATTTTTAAATGCCGGCAGTTCGAACCCCATGCCGCGCGGCTACACGCGGCACGGAGTAGCTAGTTCAGATTAGGCTTCACGCGGCACGGAGTAGCTAGTTCGGATTAGGAAGCCTAATCCGAACTAGCTACTCCGTGCCGCGTGTAGTCGCGCGGCATGGGGTTCGAACTGCCGGCATTTAAAAATGGCGCCGGCCGGCTTCATGCAAATGAAGCCCAGGAAATTCAAATCCTGGGCTTCATTTGCAACTGTGGATGACTACATTACCCCCGCTAGTTCGAACTAGCGGGGTAGTGTAGACATACCCATACAGAGACAGGAGAGCAGAGAGGCAGCTGGTGTGCACCAGGAGCCAACTTACAAACTGGTTCCTGGTGTGCACTGGGTCCCAGGGAGCTGGCTGCTGCCCCAGGTTGCAGGTGCAGTAACCGTGTACCCACTCAGTTTTTCAGCAGTTACAAGTTTACCCAATTACCTGCTTTTTAACATCTCTACTTAGAAGTCTGTGCCATGCTCCACTTTGCAGCCTACTTTTCTCAACCTAGAAGTTCAGGATAAAGAACATCATTTCATCACATTAGCAGGGGGAGTCCACTGCTGGGAGCATTCCCTCTTCTGATCCATTCCCTCCTCTGTACTGGCAGTGAGGCTTGACAGAGGAGGGGACCGTACTTGACAGAGGAGGGGACCATGATGGTAACACCGAGCATCTCCTGGGTGGGAGGCATGTTTGTTGGCTGGGGCTGGGAGCCTTCCTTTAAAACAGTAGAGAAAAACGGTTCTCTTGTAATGAGCTGGTACAGAAAGATGCAGTGTTCTAGTTTCCATAGGGAAATAAGAAGTGCTGCGAAGAAGGGAGGATACACTAGCCTTGACAAGGAGAAACATCTCCCTCCATCCTGCCTGGGAACATAGGACATTTCTCCCTCCTCCAGCCAACAAATCCAGGATCTACCCTACGCAATCTCCTATTTGTTTTCCGTTCTAATTTGTGCAACTGAAAGAATGAAGAACGTTTGGGCTCAAGGCATTTCTCAACCTGCCTCGGTTGTTATATTTGGCAGCTCCACGTAGTTCAATTGGATTCAATTTGTTACAGGATATAGAGCAGAACAGTTTGCAGCTCCAGGGGCCTTGCTTAGGGTGAGGAAGAGATGCCCGAGGGCCAAAACATTGAGGCTGTGTCTAGACTGGCAAGTTTTTTCCGCAAAATCATCTGCTTTTACGGAAAAACTTGCCAGTTGTCTACACTGGCTACTTGAATTTCCGGAAAAGCACTGACGATCTCATGTAAGATCGTCAGTGATTTTCCGGAAATACTATGCTGCTTCCGTTTGGGCAAAAGTCTTTTTCCGAAAGACTTTTGCGCAAAAGGGCCAGTGTAGACAGCACAGTAGTGTTTTCCGCAAAAAAGCCCCGATCACGAAAATGGCGATCGGGGCTTTTTTGCGGAAAACCACGTCTAGATTGGCCACGGACGCTTTTCCGGACCTCCAAAGGAGGCACTATGAAGCTACACATTTAAGACTGGTGGTAGTTTTTGTGGCTGCAGAGTCAGGCTACGTCTACACTGGCATGATTTTCCGAAAATGCTTTTAACGGAAAACTTTTCCGTTAAAAGCATTTTCGGAAAATCATGCCAGTGTAGACGTAGCCTGACTCTGCAGCCACAAAAACTACCACCAGTCTTAAATGTGTAGCTTCATAGTGCCTCCTTTGGAGGAGAGTTGGATAGCTTAGCACCAGAAAGTGGATGCAGAGTCAGGAGTGATTCAGAATTGCCCTAGATTTCCTTGGGGAAGAGCAGGAAGCACCCCTGCTCAGGGCAGGATACAGTGATGGTTTGAGCTTTCCTGGCTCCATCCAATTACAGTAAAGCCTGGCTTAACTGGGGCTGGGAAGTCTTCCGTTGCCTAGTAAGTAGGTGGTGTCTGGTCACAATTATAGGGGGGATTCTATCTGTCCGAGGGTTAAAGCCCTATTATGGGTACTGAAGTAAGTAGGAGTCCCAGTCACAGACCTTGGTGCTACAACACTCTGCCCTAGAAGCTTGCAAATGAAGCATAAGAAGCACAGGTTAGAAATGGTTACAAACAACCTATTGATCTAAACCTGAATTTCAACCTGGAGCAGCCCCTTCCCCGGCCATGGCGCGATGAGCCACAGCTGGAGGAGGGGCTGCTCAGGTCCTGCTGCGGGCAGCAGGGGCTGCTCTGGCCTGGCCCTACCTTGGGCGTCAGGGGCTGCTCCAGGCTGGTTAACCAGTTACCTGGTAAGCTGCCTGCTCACTGGGTAACAGGTTAGCCTCTTGCATCCCTATTTCTAACATTTACTAATCTTTTAACCACCATTTATAAAGGGAGCTATAAAAGGGTCATCTTCCCCTTTAAAGGCTTAATAACTAGGCCCAGCCAATCCCAGTTACTAAGGCTTAGGTGAGTGGGTCTGATTCCCCTGCAAAGAGCAGCAGGGAGTGGAATACAGAGGCTCAGTGGAAATGGTGCGACACTTTGCAAAGGCTGAGAATGAAAAATGCAGTTTACATGGTTGCTAAAGCCATGGGCTGCCCTGCTAGAGATGGGTTCTTCAGTGAAGGTTTCATTGCTGTTGCCCTTTGTTAATCGAGGGATATTAAGGGACTAACCAGTATGTCAGAATTCTACACTTTATATCCATTACTTAATCCCTTACCGGGCCCAGCGTCTTCGCCGTACGAAGTCCTTCATCGTCTTGTGGCCATGGTAAGATCTGCCAAAGATAGGTAGTTTAATGCAGGTTTGAGAGGACTCGGACGTACCTCACACCTCAGCAATAGCCTGTCAGCGCTGACTCTGTTTCTGCCCAGTGTTATTTTCCATGCATCTGTTTTCTAAAAAGCGCTACCTCACACCACACACTGTTGTGAGGATACCAAGCTTGGCTTGCAACTATAAATAACTATCCATCCTGGAGACCGCACTGCCACTTGAGAGTATTGGTGCACTCTTAGGCTATGTCTACACTCGCGGCAGAAATATGCAAATGAGGCTAAGCGTGGAATATCGCCGAGCCTCATTTGCATACCTAATGAGCTACCATTTTTGCAGAAGAGGCTCTTGCACCCAAAGAAACTGTCTACACTGCCCCTTCTTGCGCAAGAAAACCCCCTCTTGCGCAATGCCGTTATTCTTGAAAATAATCAGCGTAACGGCATTGCGCAAAAGGGGTTTTCTTGCACAAGAAGGGGCAGTGTAGACAGCTCCTTCTGGCACAAGAGCCTCTTCTGCAAAAATGGCGGCTCGTGTTTATATCTATGAGAACCAGCGGTGGAATCCAGTTACAGGATATAGCAGCAGGTAAATGTGTGCTTTTATAATGGTCAAGTGAAATGTCAGGGTATTTTTAAACTTATTGTAGGTGCAGTCCCTACCACGTAATGTTAAATTGAGAGAGCAGCAGATGTATGGGCTTTGAGAGGCTAGATTTGTCAATATATGTTAAAGCAGGGCTACTCAACTTTGGAAGCCCCAGGGGCCACAATGATGCTCTCAGCACATGCCGAGGGCCACAACTTAAGTGTGGTTGCAGATACATGCAAATATGTATGCAAATAGCTTCTTTCTCACTGACAAGCACGAATACAAAGATTAAGGCAAGACTATACACAACATGCAGGCCCCATTTAAGTCAGTTCTGCTGATAATAATAAAATGCAGTATTTACCTGATTTCCACTCATATGACAGCACTTTTAATGAGCAATGACAGTCCAGGAATTTAACTACTAAAACACACAGCAACAGAAGACCATTATATTGACTACTTTTTTGTTTTGGCTCCCATCTCAGCCCTGCCCAAATCACACCACGGGCTACGTGTTGAGCAGCCCTGCAGTAAAGGATGTCTTTGTACGTCCCAGCTCTGCAGTGCATTGCACAGCAGCACAGCTCTGGGAAGGCACAAAACCTAGCTGCAAGCAGTGCATTACAGGATTAAGGTCATAGATCGTAAGCTCTTCAAGTCATGAGCTGTCTTCCTGTGTGTGTTGTGCAGTGCTAGGCACGAGGGGTTTCTGATTCTGAATGGGACTTCTGGATACTGCATTTAATAACAATATTTAATAATTATCTAACGACACTGGAGTGTCATGAAAATGGAAGTCAGTAAATCAGGTTTTGGAGATCTTTGATCAGTGTTTGGCAGGCAATTCTGCTGCAGAGCAAACCTGTTTCATTTCAGTCCCTGCTTTAAGAGGGTCTAATGATTGAAGACTGTGTCCAGTGTGTAGATGTGGGAAGTGCGAGGGAGGAGTGAAGAGCTTTATCTTTTATCCTTCTGTCGCTGTCACTGACTCTTCGTTCCTTGCATTTGCAGAGGGCTGCCCACAGACAGATACATGTGGAGTGATGCATCTGGCTTACAAGAATGCACAAAAGTTAACACAAAGCCTCCATCGCCACAATGGTCTTGGGTAAATTTTGTCTTGAAATATTTTTTTTCTGTTTTTATTTATATATTAAAAAAAAACAGGATGGCCCTGTTACTGAATGTGAGGAGATTTTTTATTCCTGGCTCTACCACTGACCTGCTGTTTGTTACTTTAACCTCAGGTTTCCCTATTGGTAGAGTGGAGATAATCTTCCCGGTGTCCTAGCAATAGCAGATTAATTGTCCTCCCCCACCACCAACCCAATTCCTCTTTATCTTATTTGTGAATCCCACCTTGAATGTTTCTAAAGTACTTGGGGATTTGGAAGGTGTTCTCAGTAGGCAAAGTTGTACTGTAAGTATTGTTCTTAGAACATGCCATACAAGCAATTACAGTGCAAAGGGTGGCAAAGAAGAGGTGATATGTCCGTGGTGTCCAGCACGTTAGCCACTAGCCACATGTGGCCATTTGGCCAGTTGAATGTGGCTCGTTCGCTACAGCAGTTACTGCTTCAGAACAGTTTGGCCACCATGGTGATAGGTGAGCTCCCTGCTGTGCCTTCACTTTCTGTTTTGCGCCTATTAACATTATCCTTCTGATTCTAGGTGTCTGACTGGTATATCGATTTCAACATTTCAGGTGGAACTGATCGGGAAGGCTGGCAGTATGCAGCAGACTTTCCAGCGTAAGGAATTACCTTCTTGTTCCTAATAAACTTGGCATGGTCCTGCCAGGCTAACACCTGATTGGCTACAACAGCACTGCAAGCAATTATTAAAACTAATTGATTTGCACTTCAGCTATACTTTAACGGTGGTATCTGTGCCTTGATTTCCCCCTTCGCAAAACAAGGGGGAGAGCTGCTGACAATCAGTCTTGTATGGATTTGAAGTATTGCTGTCCATGGTGTTTGTGGTAGAAGGGTGAAATGTAAGTCCCACACAGCAAAATAAGGCTATGTCTACACTTGCGGCTTCTTGCGACAGAAATATGCAAATGAGGCTAAGCGTGGAATATCGCCGAGCCTCATTTGCATACCTAATGAGCTACCATTTTTGCAGAAGAGGCTCTTGCACCCAAAGAAACTGTCTACACTGCCCCTTCTTGCGCAAGAAAACCCCCTCTTGCGCAATGCCGTTATTCTTGAAAATAATCAGCGTAACGGCATTGCGCAAAAGGGGTTTTCTTGCACAAGAAGGGGCAGTGTAGACAGCTCCTTCTGGCACAAGAGCCTCTTCTGCAAAAATGGCGGCTCATTAGGTATGCAAATGAGGCTCAGCGATATTCCACGCTTAGCCTCATTTGCATATTTCTGTCGCAAGAAGCCGCAAGTGTAGACATAGCCTTATTTTGCTGTGTGGGACTTACATTTCACCCTTCTACCACAAACACCATGGACAGCAATACTTCAAATCCATACAAGACTGATTGTCAGCAGCTCTCCCCCTTGTTTTGCGAAGGGGGAAATCAAGGCACAGATACCACCGTTAAAGTATAGCTGAAGTGCAAATCAATTAGTTTTAATAATTGCTTGCAGTGCTGTTGTAGCCAATCAGGTGTTAGCCTGGCAGGACCATGCCAAGTTTATTAGGAACAAGAAGGTAATTCCTTACGCTGGAAAGTCTGCTGCATACTGCCAGCCTTCCCGATCAGTTCCACCTGAAATGTTGAAATCGATATACCAGTCAGACACCTAGAATCAGAAGGATAATGTTAATAGGCGCAAAACAGAAAGTGAAGGCACAGCAGGGAGCTCACCTATCACCATGGTGGCCAAACTGTTCTGAAGCAGTAACTGCTGTAGCGAACGAGCCACATTCAACTGGCCAAATGGCCACATGTGGCTAGTGGCTAACGTGCTGGACACCACGGACATATCACCTCTTCTTTGCCACCCTTTGCACTGTAATTGCTTGTATGGCATGTTCTAAGAACAATACTTACAGTACAACTTTGCCTACTGAGAACACCTTCCAAATCCCCAAGTACTTTAGAAACATTCAAGGTGGGATTCACAAATAAGATAAAGAGGAATTGGGTTGGTGGTGGGGGAGGACAATTAATCTGCTATTGCTAGGACACCGGGAAGATTATCTCCACTCTACCAATAGGGAAACCTGAGGTTAAAGTAACAAACAGCAGGTCAGTGGTAGAGCCAGGAATAAAAAATCTCCTCACATTCAGTAACAGGGCCATCCTGTTTTTTTTTAATATATAAATAAAAACAGAAAAAAAATATTTCAAGACAAAATTTACCCAAGACCATTGTGGCGATGGAGGCTTTGTGTTAACTTTTGTGCATTCTTGTAAGCCAGATGCATCACTCCACATGTATCTGTCTGTGGGCAGCCCTCTGCAAATGCAAGGAACGAAGAGTCAGTGACAGCGACAGAAGGATAAAAGATAAAGCTCTTCACTCCTCCCTCGCACTTCCCACATCTACACACTGGACACAGTCTTCAATCATTAGACCCTCTTAAAGCAGGGACTGAAATGAAACAGGTTTGCTCTGCAGCAGAATTGCCTGCCAAACACTGATCAAAGATCTCCAAAACCTGATTTACTGACTTCCATTTTCATGACACTCCAGTGTCGTTAGATAATTATTAAATATTGTTATTAAATGCAGTATCCAGAAGTCCCATTCAGAATCAGAAACCCCTCGTGCCTAGCACTGCACAACACACACAGGAAGACAGCTCATGACTTGAAGAGCTTACGATCTATGACCTTAATCCTGTAATGCACTGCTTGCAGCTAGGTTTTGTGCCTTCCCAGAGCTGTGCTGCTGTGCAATGCACTGCAGAGCTGGGACGTACAAAGACATCCTTTACTGCAGGGCTGCTCAACACGTAGCCCGTGGTGTGATTTGGGCAGGGCTGAGATGGGAGCCAAAACAAAAAAGTAGTCAATATAATGGTCTTCTGTTGCTGTGTGTTTTAGTAGTTAAATTCCTGGACTGTCATTGCTCATTAAAAGTGCTGTCATATGAGTGGAAATCAGGTAAATACTGCATTTTATTATTATCAGCAGAACTGACTTAAATGGGGCCTGCATGTTGTGTATAGTCTTGCCTTAATCTTTGTATTCGTGCTTGTCAGTGAGAAAGAAGCTATTTGCATACATATTTGCATGTATCTGCAACCACACTTAAGTTGTGGCCCTCGGCATGTGCTGAGAGCATCATTGTGGCCCCTGGGGCTTCCAAAGTTGAGTAGCCCTGCTTTAACATATATTGACAAATCTAGCCTCTCAAAGCCCATACATCTGCTGCTCTCTCAATTTAACATTACGTGGTAGGGACTGCACCTACAATAAGTTTAAAAATACCCTGACATTTCACTTGACCATTATAAAAGCACACATTTACCTGCTGCTATATCCTGTAACTGGATTCCACCGCTGGTTCTCATAGATATAAACACATTTCACATCTGATTGCATGTAAATATTATCGGCACTGCTGGCCAATCCTGCAGGCAATAAACCACAGGGGTGAAAAGCAAAGTTTAATATTAAAGAAGAAGGTTGATAATGTTTAAAGTTTTTGCCTGGTGGAACGTTAATTCACTTTTTATTGATCATTTTTTAGCCAAAAGTTACAAAACTAAAATGCACAGCCTACTTCCTCTGCAGAGTCTCAGATGGGTAATAGTGTTAGTCTGTATCTGCAAAATCAACGAGGAATCCTGTGGCACCTTCAGCCATGTCTGTACTAGGAAACTATTTCATAATTACTAAAGTCAACTTAAGAACTCCCGATTTAACAAATTCAAACTAACGTGTCCTCACTACAGGGAAGCATCGAAATTAGTCTGAGGCAGGCTCCATTAATGTGGATGTGCTATCTCGGACTTAGAGCCCGGAGCTTTCCAGAGGCCAGTAAATCTGAATTAGTGGCACCAGAATGTCCATACTAACATTATTTCAAAATTGCTATTTTGGAATTAGTGGTACTCCTCATGAAAAGCAGGAGCACAGAGTTCAAATTCCATGGTAATGTGGATGTACTGCTTATAAATTCAAACTTGGGGATGTTATTTTGGAACAAAGTCCTAAGTGTAGACCAGGGCATAGAGACTAACAGATTTATTAGGGCATAATCTTTCGTGGATAAAACCCACTTCATCAGATGAATTGGAGTGGAGTTTACAGAAGCATGGGTATATATAAGGGCAACAAAAGAAAGAGGGTACTTTTGTAAATGAGGCTAATCAAGTCAGGGTGAAAACAGCTCATCTAGAGCAGCTGGTGTAAAAATATGGCTATTAAGAGAGGGGAAATTGCCTTTGTAATGCGTTAACTACTTAAGATCCTTATTCAATCCTAAGTTAATAGTATCTGTAGAGATGGACTATCCAATCAGATCGTTCTACAGACTAGACACACTACGAAGATGAAGAACTGAAATGTTTGTTCTCCTGGTGTCATGTAGGAGGTTAGCTAGTGAATTTATACACCCTGCTAGAATAAAAGCGTGTCATTACCTTGAATGAAGCCGCCTCCATATCCACCAGTATAAACCCAGGCTGTGTGATCATAACCTATGCCCCACACAATGCCATGGCTGTTGCATTCTATCAGACGGAGATGCCCTCCAATCTGACGCCAAAACCTGCAGGGCAAGAGATCAGTAACAGCTCATATTCCCTGTCATTCACCTCAGCCCTGACTTAGGGAGGGTCGGAGGGCAGCTCAGTTGCTCGCTCATTCAGTATCCATCCAACCATGGAGATGGCGATAGATGCCAGTTAAGAACGCTCCTTTTGACTAGCTACTGCCAGTAGGGGGAGACAGCTTGGCTAGCGAGTCTGCAGCTCATCAAACACCCCATTTGCATCTAAGTTTAACTCTGAATTTCCTGTTTTGATGCCCTGATGGGCTGTTTGGCTAGGGTGCACCGGTGAGCATTTCCCTCGTTAATCGTGGATATCGGCCCTCGGAGTTCACTTCAACCTGAAGCTTTTCCTCTAGGAATTTCCTTGATTTAACACACAAGAGTGGATGGTGCTCATATTGAACGGGGGGGGGAGGCAGGAGCCCCGAGAGGATTCCTTCACCTTCTGCAGCAGCAGAGTCTTACTTTCACGTTCTGAAGAAGGGACAACCATGGCTGCAGTTCTGAGGAGGTGCCTAGCAGAGGGAAATCCTTCCCTGGGATTGAGCCCTGCTAGGGGTGGTGTCCCTCCAGGGAAGAGTATGGAAGGCAAAGGGACGGTGGAAAAACATGCCACTAGGGCAGGGGTGGGCAAAAGGGCCTCTGTGGACCGGATCCGGCCTGCCAAGCGGGTTGATCTGGCCCACAGAGGCCCTGCTGCTCCCGCACTCCCAGACCAGTTAGGACATGGGGGCAGGGGAGCGTGCGAAGCTTCCTCCCGCCCTGCCAGGAGCGCTTTGAAGCGCCATGTGATGCTTGCGGGGCGGGAGGAGACATCACGGGTTCCCCTGTCCCCAAGCCCTGATTGGCCTGGGAGTGGGGGAGCTGCGCGAAGTTTCCTCCACCTCCCCCGCCCTGCGAGGAGCGCGCGGCACTTCAAAGAGCTGTACACTCGCGCAGGGTGCAGGCAGGGCAAAGGAAGCTTCGCGCAGCTCCCCCGCCCCCAGGCCCTGATTGGCTTGGGGGTGGGGGAACGCACAAAGCCTCCTTCCGCCCTGTGAGGAGCATGTGGCACTTTGGCCTGGGGGTGGGGGCGAAGCCTCTTCCCACCCTACTAGGGGCATGGGTGCTTAGTGGGAAGAGGGGGCAAAGGAGCTCCCCCATCCCCAGACCAAACATGGGATGGGGAAGCCCAGAAGCATCCTGGCCCCGCCCCTTCTGATTTAGACCCTGCCTTTTCTGGGGCGGCCAAAACTTATTGCCCACCCCTGCACTAGAGGGTAGGGTGGAGTACAAAAGAAGAGCTGCTTTTACAGACCAGGAAGTGTGCAGAAGTACATAAGAGCACCAGAAACCAGCTAAGCTTTAGGGCCCCAGTGAAGCCCTGTCTTCCTCTCCCAGTAGGTCTACACCGCAGCTGGGAGGTGCGATTGCCAGCCAGGGTACACAGACTCTTGCTAGCACACGATAACAGCCCTCTGGTTAACTGAATCTGAGCCACCATCCATGCTGCGCAATCCCTTTCCACGCTGCTATTATCGGCATGCTGTCTCCCGCACTAGGAATCGTACTGCCCAGCTGCGCTGTAAATGTACCCCAGGGGTTTTTAGGGCTTCATAATTCAGAAACACCTCGTGCAAGTCACTTCAAAGTTAAGAGCAAAAATTCTACTTGGCTTCACCTGCCAATCTGGAAGCCTTTGCTTTTGGATGACAGGGTCTGGGTGGCAATATCATGCTTAGACTAGAAACCCAACTCTTATCCTCAGGATCTCTCACCACTGCATGTGGGATTTTGAATTCCCTGACTTGGGTGCTAGTCAAATCTCAGCCCTCATGAATAGAATGTTTCGTTTACTCTAAAATGCTGTCCACTAATTTGTGCAGGAGAACTTAGCACCCAACCCTCACATGTCCCTCCTAATGAAATCAGATCGGAAGCCTGGCAAAATCTGGCCCAGAACATGCAGCTTGAGCGTGTGAACATCAAAACGGAGCCCAAGGAAACTTCATCTCACGTATGAAAAAGAAGGCAACTCCATGTCTATCTTCGCCATTGGCTGACACCTACAGCATGCCAGGTGTTTCACACAGCAGATGTGGAAGTAAAGAAAATTCCATCTGCATGAAATGCCCTGTACTGAAGGGAACTTTGAAACCTTACATTTGGTCACAAGGCATCAGGTGTGGTGCAGCCTCCAATTCAGGACCTGGCTCGCTAACGAAGACGTCTCCTTTGCAGGTGACAGACCAGATGGCCTGGTGGGAGGGAGGGCCTTGAATCCGTCTGCTTTCACAGCAGGACATGCTCAGCAAAGCCAGCTATGATATCAGAAAGGAACAAAGAGCGAGAAGGGACATTTCACGGGGTGAACAAGTGGTTTTTGCTTCACCTTGGCCATGCAGTGCTAGAGAAAGGAGGATATCCTCACTGCCTACTCCACATTCCCAAGCAGAACCAGCAGAGTCCACATGAAAGGAGTCATGACCCATTGCTACAAGCATGGTTTTTCTTTCAGGATCCCCAGAGTGCTTCGCAATGTGTCCATGTATACACGTGTGTACATACGTATGTGCGCACATACCCATGCACAGTCAGCCGACACGTAGCCATCTTAGTGCCATAGCGACGAAATCAAGAGGATAACTAGCTCCATGCACAGTAGCGAAGGAAGGTTTTCCCTCACTGGCTTAAACTGTTTATTTGAGAAGTAAAATATTTACAAAGAGCTGAGCAAACCTTAGTAGTAAAGATCGTTTGAATGCCTGGAGCCCTGGCTACAGGCATTTTTTGTTAGTCTCTAAGGTGCTGCAGGACCATTCATAGTTTTTAAAGTTTTTTCAGTTACGGACTAACATGGCTACCCCTCTCAGACTCACACTCAACTCCATTTATCTGCTTCCAAAGAACAATAGAGCTCAGTTAATCCTGCCATGGTTCCCGTGGCCTTGTCTACATTTTAGAGGGGACAAAAATCCTGCAAGTGTGACCATGGGATTAGCTGCACCACTAGTCACTCTGGCATGAGCCCTAGTGGTGACATGCAGCTGCAGGTGTTTTCACCATGAGGTTAGGTAAGCTTGGGCTGAACTTCCTGTAGTGCTGGTGACACATCTAATCAGTTTTCCTAGTGCAGACATAGCCAAAGAGGCCAGAGGTTGCAAACCTGATGTTCAGACCTCACACAAACGAGGTTTTAGGGAAATCATTTCAGACAGAGCCACACTGAGAGAGCAAGTTGGCCGCGTTACCCAGTCGTGCATTTCTTGCTCCGTAGCCGCTGCTAGACGAATTGGCCACCGCTGTTTTGTCTTCTCGGGCGTGTAGAGCGCAAAGGAGTGTTTGGCATCATTCAGAACCTCCACGAGAATAGTGACTTCGTTCAGGAACACGTGGATGTACTGGACAATGCAAAGGGCAATTGGTGAACAAGGCAAATTCACATTCACCCTCCCCCACCACCAACACAATAGTGAGACTTTGCACAAATAGTCTGTGGCAAAGATGGCAGAAGGATTAACGTTCTGCTTAGGAGAAACCCTCATTGTGTTTGGGAGTTCTCATGCAATGGGATTAGCATTATAGCCCTGGATGCCTGAAATAACATCCACCCATCCCTACATACACACACACTCTTCCTCTTGCCAGTGTGTGTCAACCCGACCTCAGAGGGCCCTCTTGCTAGGCACCAAAGGCTGGTTCTTTTCCCGAGACCATTCAGTCTTTGGGCTGTCAACAAGATGGCTAGCTGATGTCAACCGATGGTGGCTTCCCCGCTGACAGCTGGATTATTTCTAACAGCCAGCAGAGAGAAAAGACTTTCATTTGCTACTGGGCCGGCTCAGAAGTGGTGACCTAGAGAGAACCCCCATATCTCAACACACATCTAGCCAGGGTTTTCCTCTTGTCAAACTGGACAGCAGCACCACCCTGAGCTACTCGCATGCACCTTTTTCTCCTCGTGGTGCAGATAGTAGATGAACAGAATGCTGTCACGCATGCCATCGTTCCCAGTGAACTGCTCCAGTGCCACTCGAACATCTGTCCATTTATGAGGCTTCCAGCTTCTCCACCACTGTAAGGTCCCAGTTTTAACCCAGACAGACTGTGGCGGAAACAAAATTACAAGGAGCTGCAAAGAGCTTTTTTGATTCCTCCCCTCTCCAAAATCCCTGGACTTATTGGGATAGACCAAAGGTCAGTCTAGCCTAGCATCCAGTCTCCAAACAGTGGCCAATGCCAGGTGTTGCAGAGAATGAACAGAACAGGGAATCATCAAGTGACCCATTCCCTGTCACCCATTCCCAGCTTCTGGCAAACAGAGGCGGGGGCATAATCATGCCTAACAGCCACTGATGGATCTATCCTCCATTAATATATCTAGTTCTTTTTTGAGCCCTCTTCTTCCTATACCACACCAAGGTGTTTCGATACAAGCAGACGATAATGTGATCGGATAAAGGCTAACAAAACTCTATAGCATGGAGGTGAGATGCCCCATTCAGAGTCACATAAGAATGGCCATACAGGGTCAGACCAAAGGTCCATGTAGCCCAGTATCCTGTCTTCCAACGGTGTCCAATGCCAGTTGCCCCAGAGGGAATGAACAGAACAGGTAATTGTGAAGTGATCCTTTTCCTGTCATCCATTTCCAGCCTCTGACAAACAGAGACTAGGGACACCACCCCTACCCATCCTGGCTAATAGCCATTGATGGACCTAACCTCCATGAATGTATCTAGTTCTTTTTTGAACCCTGTTAAAGTCCTGGTCTTCACAACATCCTCTGGCAAGGTGCACTGTGTGAAGAAAAAACTTCCTTTGCTTGTTTAAAACCTGTACTTATTAATTTCATTTGGTGACCCCTAGTTCTTATATTATGGGAACAAATAAATAACTTTTCCTTATTCACTTTTTCCTCACCACTCATGATTTTACAGGCCTCTATCATATCCTCCCCCCCCGTCTTCTCTCTTCTAAGCTGAAAAGTCCCAGTCTTTTTAGTCTCTCTTCAAATGGCACCCGTTCCAAAACCCTAGCCATTTTTGTTGCCCTTTTCTGAACCTTTTACAATTCCAATATATCTTTTTTGAGATGAGGTGATCACATTTATATGCAGTATTCTAGATGTGGGAGTGTCATGGATTTATACAGAGGCAATAAGATATTCTCTGTCTTATTCTCTATCACTTTTTAAATTATTCCTAACATCCTCTTTGCTTTTTTGGCTGCTGCTGCACATCTGAGTGGGTGTTTTCAGATGTCACCACCTTGGAGAGTTTAAAAATCACAGATATTCTCTGACTAGGGGAAATGCAGCAGACTATTTCTAACTGAGGTTCAGAATTCAAGTGCTTTTAGCAAAATCACATATTAAAATTAATTAAAATGACAGACACCCAACTGTTCTGTATTAAAATCAATAAAAAAAAGTGATACTAGATAACTCAAGTCTCTTAGCAAGGGCAGGGTCAAAATCCCAGGCCAGTCACTGCTCTGCTCATTACAGCCAGAGCAAGCGGGTCCGCAGCTCCAGAGCAAGCTGCTCGCTCCTGCCAACTCCAGCCCTGGGAAAAAACTGGAGGCAGCTGCCAAGCGGAAGGACCAATTCCACAACCCCAGGTTCTAGAGGTTGACTCCTGATCCATGACACCACCTGGAGGACCCACTCTCGCCTCAGACTTCTCCAGTCTTCCAGTGTATTCTCAAATGTTCTCTGTGACTGGCACCTTCTCTTTTATAATACTATAGATTAGAGTTAAAGGGAAGAAAACAGAAGAACTTTCACCTACCTGCTCAATAGCCTGCTCATAGTGTCTAAAGTTCTCCAGTTCCCGCTTGGTCCTTTCACTGAGCTGCTGAAAAATCTGCTTTCGCCATGCTGCCGTCTGCGCTGGACTGATAGACAGGGAAAGGGACTGCACAGAGCATAACAGACCTAATGCAGAACCATCAAGAGAAAGGGAACTTCAAAAACACAACTCAGTGACGTATTAGACGCTCAAGACACAAACGTGTCACTTAAAAAAAACATTGGGTCAAACACCTATCAGAGACACACTAGCTTCAGTGGCATTACCACAGGGCCAGTGAAAATACTGCAAATGGTAAAAGACTTATCATAAGCTCCTCTGTATATCCCTCTCGTAAAGCAGCACCTGCATAGTCCTAGGAGATGGACCATATGCTCTACGGCTTCTGCCACTGAGCTTAGCAGCTAGACAAGGCTCTGTAATGGGGTGCTCACTCTTTTGACAACCAGCTTATTTGGAAATCTGATCATATTCCACTTCCTCCCTGCTGCACCCCATCCTGCAGCCCAGGGTGGGCTCCCCTTGAGAAAACCACCTTCCAATTCCTCTTGCCATTAGAAAGGCTTAGGACAGTGCGTCCCCTATCCTTGGGCCACAAGGACGATGGTACCAGCAGAGCATTGTGTTATTTTTCTCTAGCCAGGCTCCCTCCACAACTTGCTTCACACCAGCAGCCCTTTTATCCCAAGCTCCAGTTTCAATGCAAGGGAGAGTGAAACAGGTGTGTGGAGTTCTGACAAACTCGATTATTCTGTAACGTCTGCCACACATGCAGAAGAAAAAAAGTCACCGTGTTTGTATCAAGTCTTGCATCCCAAAGTGCTTTACAGCTTGATACACACCCCCAAGAAATACCCTCCCTTCTGAGGGGAAAGGTAGCAGCTAACTGGCACATAAATACTACACAAGAGTGGGAGGAGGGGGGAGTATTTTGAGTCAAGGACACCTTTTTAAAAAAGCACAGTATCTTAGTATGTCTATTATGGCAGCACCATTAGGCCCGAAGTGGGGATGAGGGCCCAGCTATGCTGAGCTGACAGTACCTGACTGAAGAGTGAACCATTTCAATGAGCTGTGTGAATCCACTAGGCAGCCTCCCCCAGACACCCAGGCCCACAACGGGTGCTCATCTGCTCCATAATGTTCTTCGTCTCCAACTGAGAACATGCCTAGGGAAGATTGGATGGGCGTCTCCGGGAAGGGGCTGGTGGAGAACGGAGGCTTTTTATGGGCCTCCTTTAAGTCAATGTTCGTCCACTGCAGCTCTGCAGGATGGGGATCCTGGTCAGCAGGCGACTCGGATTTTTCGGCACCAGCCTTCTCCCCGCTGCCTGAAGCTGGGCTGGCTTCTTCAGGAGCAGAGTCCTGAGGAGCCACAGCCACGTTTGCACTCGCTTCTGCTGGCTGGCTTCCCACGTTGTTACCATTGACGCTAGCTGGCGCGCCCAACAAGGGCATGTCGGCGAGATCTGGGTGTACCTGCAGGCTCTCAGTATCAGAGGAAGTGTCCGTGTCGCTCTGAGCGATCAAATTCATTTGCTCCCTAACGTCATCACTGAAGAAACAGCCAGCGCTTGAGGACAAACAGACAAATAACCCATCAGCCATCGTTCCCAGAATTTTCAGCTGGCACAGCACCATAGAAAAGACCAAAGACAGACAGACAGAAATGGCTACACAGTTTCCTGCTAATACACAAAGGCTGTGTCTAGACTGGCAAGTTTTTCCGCAAAATCAAATGATTTTGTGGAAAAACTTGCCAGCTGTCTACACTGGCCGCTTGAATTTCTGGAAAAGCACTGAAGATCTCATGTAAGATCGTCAGTGATTTTCTGGAAAAACTATGCTGCTCCCGTTTGGGCAAAAGTCTTTTTCCGAAAGACTTTTGCCCAAAAGGGCCAGTGTAAACAGCACAGTAGTGAAAATGGCAATCGGGGCTTTTTTGCAGAAAACCGCGTCTAGATTGGCCACAGAGGCTTTTCCACAAAAAGTGCTTTTGCGGAAAAGCATCCTGCCAATCTAGATGTGCTTTTCCGAAAATGCTTTTAACGGAAAACTTTTCCGTTAAAAGAATTTTCGGAAATTCATGCCAGTCTAGCCGTAGCCCTATTGTGCAGCCAATGATCCTGGTTGTTTTAAAAGGATTTCCCTTTTAAACATGTAAAGCCACGTTTCGAGCTCTCTTCCTTTTCAGTTAAACCTTGACCATAAATGGTTCTTCCTCATTTTTTCAGGAAGAACGGCTCTTGTGCAAGAGGGGGCTTTTGCGCAAAAAGGAGCCATCTACACAGCTCCTTTTTTTGCGCAAAAGCGGCTGCTCATTAATTATGCAAATGAAGTGCATTGCTCTTCCATGCCACACTTCATTTGCATAACTACAGTTTAGCCATAGCCTCAGAGATGGATTTTGTTTGGCAACAAGACATTCTGATTCCTAGGGCTTAGCACATGGTTCTACTGTGTTCCTAGCATGCTCTGTGTGGCCGATAGGCCAACTCTCATCAGGGAGCCATTTGTTTATCCTCTCTGAGAAAGTGGCAAGATGCCACACGAGTGACACCCAAGAGGAAGATAATTGTTAAGCGGAGAAAACACCTCCAGGATATCTGGCAGGTAACTTTTCATCCTATGATAGCCTGGATCCTGAAATCTGATGGCAAATCCCAGCTCAATCCTGGAAATCTGCTCTGAGTTCTCAAGTCGGAACACTGCCTCCCTCCCCAGAGAACAAAAGTTTGCTGCTCACTGCATTTTTATTGGGGTTGGGGGAGCGAAGGGGGGGAGAGAGGGGAAAAAGAGACAAATAGACTTCAGCACCTGGCGAGAAGCAGAAGTCATATGGGATTTGTTCAAGGTCACAGTGAGGGGCCCTGAACAAACTGGACCGACTGTGTTCGCAGAAAGACTCCTCCCATGCCCTGGCAGCAGCAAAATCTGATGTTGCGGAGGGCTTTTGGACGCTACCTGAGCAGACTGGTCGAGCTGCCGGTCTGAGACCTATCGCTGTCTCTGGCAGAGACAATCGCCTTCCAGGTCTTCCCGCTGAGCTCACTTGGTGTCACGCCTTGCCGGAAATAAACAGCTCGATCCTCGGAGCCAATTCCCCAGACCTAGGGGAAAAAGGGGCCTTGAGGGGAATGTCTGTGTGTCCTAAAGGGGTGAACGGCACGGAACGCAGCTACAACAGGGGAGCAAGAAAGGGGTCAGGTCCTGAGCCGGAGGTTTTCGGGGTTCATCTCGAGTGCTGGTATTTTAGGTGTGGTGCATTGTTCCTGTTGATTGGTGGGGGAGGGGTACTGGCACTCAGGCGTCAGATGCGAGGCAGGTTCACTGAATGCTCTCGCACTACAACATCCAGTACCTCATGGCTTCTGGCAGTGTAGGCAACTGGGCCCTGGTTGGGCTGACCATCCTGGTGCCCTCCCAAGTGTATTCTGACTGCAAAGCTGTGCAGTGATCACAGGGAAGGAGTCTACACATGCTCACGTATTCACACAATCGGCATCCTGCTGCCTTACCTGGTCATTTAAGCCTACGTTTACCATCATCATTTCTCCAACCATTTCGATCCAGCTGGTGCCACACGGATTGTGCGAGTTCACACCTCTTCGGAACCACACCTGTCAAGTGAAAATCCACGTCCTCAAGTACTGTGCTGGCAGGGCAAGAGCAAAGGCTGGCAGTCAGGGCTCTTGAAGCTCAGGCTCAGTTCTGCCATAGACTGGCCACATGGCCTTGGATAACCAATCATCAGTGTCTTTGGTCTGAGGCATCCAAAGCATCTGCAAGCCTCAATTAAGCCTCAAAACAATCCCAGGAAACAGGTAGCCTGTGTCATGCTCATTTTGTGCCTAGGGAAACGGAGGCACCGAGCCATTAAGAGACTTGCCTGTGGTCATACAGCAAGTCAGTGGCACAGTTGGGAATAGAACTCCAAATGCCTGACTCCCCAAGCTGCACTTTCACTCCCCTTGTGACAGCACAGCATACACTGGCATGCACCTCAGTTATTCAGAGTAGCTTTGACAATCCTAGCCTAAAAAGAGGCCTAAGAGACTTATGTACCTAAAATCCCATCGGTGATTGGTTTCCTAATCCCCCTTAGCTTCCTTCAAAATCCCAGCAACTGTTGTTACTGGCTAACTCTTTCAAAAGCTACTAACACACAGTGTTAACTTTAATATTAAAGAGCTGGTCAAGGAATGAGAGAGCAAAGGTCAGATTCTCATTTGCACTCTGGCCCTGTCACTTCATTCTGGCAGTGCAAGCAGGTCTCACATGGGGTAGAAATGTAACCTACATCCACTTTAAGGTCTCTAAGGCTATGTCTACATTGCAGCGCTACTTCGAGATACAGAGACATCCTGAAATAGCTATTTTGAATCTTTTGAGCGTGCATGTTATTTCAACATATAACGGGCTCGCTATTCCGACGTCTCTGTTCCACGAGGAGTAAGGGACGTTTCGGAGTAGCAATTTATTTTGAAAGAAGTGCTGTGTACATAGCGCCAAATTTCAAAATAAGTTATTTTGAAATAACATTGAAATAAGATACGTAATTTGCATAGCTCAAATTGTGTCTCTTATTTCGACCTACCGTGCAGGGTAGACACACCCTAACAGGGCCTGGATGGTGTAAATGGGTCTGAATGTAAATGTAGCAGTTCTATAATCTCTGTAAGGAGAACTCCTCTGAGAAGTTAGAGATAGAACAGCCAACAAGGGTGAACCAGCCAGCTCCCCATTCCCTCCCCCTGAGACTAAACATTTTTCTGGCACATAGGGAAATTCCCTCTTTTACATCTCAACTGTAGGATGGCTTTTATCACACCCTGGCTCCTAGTTAGCATGTCTGCCTCTGAGTCTCCTCCCCAAGCTTTTCAAGGACTTTAGATATATTATACAGGTTGGACCTCCCTGAGTGGTCCTGGACAAGGGAATTTTCTGGACCAGAGAAGGTCTGGCAGGTGGGAGGGGGAGATGACATCAGCGTCTCTGCTGGCCCCTCCCCAGTTACCTAGCACTACTACTGTTGCCCTGCGGGCGCTTGCAACCCCACCCGCCCTGCCTGCACTCATGGCCTTACCACCTGTGGGTTCTGCAGCCCTTTTTGGCCACACTGGCTGTCGGCTCAGGGGCCCTCCCGCCCAGAAGGTTCCAGCACCCCCATCGGCTTCTCAACCTGGCAGACTGCAAGGTCTGGTGTCCTTTGGGCTCCGCTGCCCCACTGGCCCCACCAAACTGGCTCTACTCCCAGCCACCAGGATGGATGTTGCTGGACCAGAGAGTCCTGGACCACAGAGGATCGACTTGTATTAAGTCCAGTTGGAATAGAATGTTTACTTTCAAAGCTGACTTGTTAAATTAGTGGTTGGATTTTTAAAGAATCAAAACAAGCCATGTATTTAATCTCTTACTTGATCAGAGTGGCTCTCATTCTTTCACCAAACAAACTGCAGAGGATTTTCCAGTTACACTGGTAAGCTATAGCAGTTTAACTATGGCAGTGTAACAGTATGTGATGTCACAAGGTCAGGCCAGAGAGTTGCTACAGAGTGGGGAAAGGGCAGCCCAAAACGGATAAAAGGCTGCTAATTAGAAGTGGAAGGCAGCAGGACAATTAGGAGCATCTGGCAGGGAGCTGGCCCAGGTAGACTGGGACCAACTGACTCCACTTCAGGCCTACTGGAGGCCTTTAAAAGCCCCCTAGTTAGAAGGGGGGAATGAGAGTGAGAGGACAGAGAGGCAGAGGACAGGACATTGGACTGAGAGAAATACAACAAGGCTGCGTCTAGACTGGCAAATTTTTCCGCTTAAAACTTGCCAGCTGTCTACACTGGCCGCTTGAATTTGCGCAAGAACACTGACGATCTCATGTAAGATTGTCAGTGTTCTTGCGCAAATACTATAATGCTCCCGCTCGGGAAAAAGCCCTCTTGCAAAAATACTTTTGCGCAAGAGGGCCAGTGTAGACAGGTAAAAACTGTTTTGCACAAAAAAGCCCCGATGGCTAAAATGGTGATCAGGGCTTTCTTGCGCAAAACCGCGTCTAGATTGGCACGGACGCTTTTCCACAAAAAGTGCTTTTGCGCAAAAGCATCCGTGCCAATCTAGATGCTCTTTTCCCCAAATGCTTTTAACGGAAAAACTTTTCTGTTAAAAGCATTTGTGGAAAATCATGCCACTCTAGACGCAGTCCAAGAGTTAGAAACAAAGCACTAGCAGTTACAGCACTAGAGATAGCAGGGAGGAAGTCCCAGGAGGAGTGGCTGGGCTCTCTACCCCAGAAACCAGCTGCAAGCCCCCACCCC